GCGCTGCGCACTCACCCCATCCAGGCGGCGGCGGCGGCTCCCGGGCCCCGCTGGCTGCACCGCCCCTCCCGCCGCTTCCCCAGGAAAACGCGGCCGCCGGGCTGGCTTCCTGCTCGGCTTCCTGCGCCTCGGTCCCTCCTCCTCCCCGGCCGCGGGGGTCAGTGGGCGCCGAGACTCCGGGGCTGGGCTGGCGGGGCGGGGGCAGCGGCAGCACCACCACGTGGCCGCCCGGCGCCGGCCCTGGTCGACCCGGATCCCGCGGGAGCGGGAAGGGAGGTGCTAACCATTCCCCTCCCCTTCCACCCCGCGCGGCCCCAAATTCCGCGAGTCAGGTGACCCGGCCCGGCGCCGCGGCCCGGACCTGCGGGAGGTGCTCCTGGCCGGGCAGCGGCCGCATCCCCTGGCCCGCGCGCCCCGAGCGGCCTTGGCTTGTTTTCCGTTTTGAACGGATCATGGGACCCTTCCTCGCGGATCTGATTCACCACCACCATCATCATCATCATCATCATCATCATCACCACCTGAACTTACGAAACGACCGATGCTCCCCAGGTTTAGGACGACTGAGTTCCCGAATAGTATTCACTTCTGGTCAGCTTCCAAAGTCGTGGTGGTCCAAATGCCTTCTGACCAGAATCAAATCGGTTAGATTTTCCAAAGTGATTGAATAGAAAGTAAACTAGAATGTGGTCATGGTGTCTGAACTGAACCAATGGGTTGGAATGCCTGTTTCCTACACTCATCAGGTGGCACCAGAAAACTACCAGCGTAAAGCGTTGCTCTGCTCTGGAGCTGAGAGAAACCTGCAGCCTGAACTCGAAGGCGCGAATGAGGAGCCCTCGAGGCAGTGCCTCGGGCGCCAAGGGGCCCGGCCGCCTTCCTCCCCAGGTCCCCTGCAGCTTCCCTCCCTTCCCCAGACTGCTGAGACCGGCGTTTGAATCATGATGGATTCTTCCTTTAATTCCAAGGATTTCAAAGCTCTCCACCTGCTTATTTAATTTGGGACGGCTTTTCCACTCATTCTCGTCCTGCCAACTAGCTAGGACTTAGAAAGTCCTTATTCACTAAAGCCTCTCCTATCTCCGCTACATCCTTTGTGTGGGACAGGAAGCTTTCGAGAATAAGTAAGTGGTATGAGTCCTTTTGGGTGGGATCAATTCTAAATCAGTTGAATTTTTAAAAAGATCCAACAAAAGTGAAATGCTCACTGACAAGAGTTCAGTTTATAATGTCTTAGCCAGATCTTGTCATCTACACAGCAGACTTTATCTGTAATCCTATACCTACCCTCATCCCCTACAGCCTCCACTGGCCCTGCCCCCACCACCAGCCAAGGGAACAGCCAGTCTTAGCTTCAACAGGTGACTTGTCAAATAGGAAGCAAAAGCTATGTAACTAGCTACATGGTCTTCACTTCCTAAATCATACGTTGGAGATTCCTAAGAGAACTGATGAACAGCCAGTTTAAAACAGGGTGTATACTCTTCTTCCTGTCCTTTATCCTTTTCAAACAAAATCAGCCCTAGAAGGAATGTGAACTGGCAAACTTCCTTCTGGGTTATGCTGGCAATTTCCACAATACAGTTTTCCATTGCAGTTCATATTATGGAGGACCTAAGAGGGAACTATGCCGCCACTTGCGAGTTTTCTGTTCTGCTTTTAGCAGGTCGATCTCTTCATTCTAGCAGGGCCGGAGGGGAGGGTGGGATTTGGAGCACAATGTAGAGTATATACCAGGCTGCCCTAGAAAGCTAATATGTGCATATTCTGTAGCTGAAGGAGTTAAAATATCTAACATTAAACAATAATTGTGTAAGGCAAGGTCATCAGCCTTTTGTTCATAGAAGCTCTTTTTTCCCCTCTTTTACACTGTGAGGCCCTGTCCCAGCCACCTGCCTATGAGCCTCCCTGCCTACGTCAGCCATGTGGCTCCTGTAGGTGGTTTACGTGCTTCTTCTCCTTAGTTTATAATCCCACCCTCTAACATCAGCAGGCCAAACTCTGGGTGAAGGATTAAAGAGGGAAGGACTCTTACAGTTAGTCTGATGTGCCAAGATCTTTTTCCAGATCCCATCCCTCCACCCCCAAACTCAGACCACAATTGAATTTCTGCCACCTGCTGGGGGATTGGTGGTCAAGTATAGGATTGAACCAGTGTCTTCTCATAGTTTTGTTTTGCCCAGGCCTTTTAGAGGTGTTAACTGGATTCAGGATGTACAGAACACAGCCTACCGGGCCCAGGTAGAAGGGTTGGAAAGAAGAAAACAAAGATAAAATGATCCTCTAACCTGCGTAAAGTTGGTAAAACTTTTGGGAGATGAACAGCATGTTGTATTTCAACAGAGCAATTACCCAAAACTGGAGGTAACTGTGGCGCGATATGTAGTACTAAGGGTAATAAGAGCGATTGGACCAGGTCTCCCGACTCTTCTCTTTAACTAACTTGCCATGTGAACTTCACCAAATGTTTGAGGCTTTCCTGGTCCTACTTACCTCATCAGTAAAAGAGAACATTGACTTACATGGCCTCTAAGAATGTTTCAGCTCTAACATCCTAAGCCCATTTTATTAGATTGAAGAGACTTCACATGCAATGAAGCTTCTACACTTTACAGCAAAGCATTGTTCTCTAATTGTTCTAGCAGATCGGTCTTGCCATACCAATCAGATCCTAAACTCCTAAGAAAGTTGCCATCCAGAACTTAGCAGTATCTATAAATGAAATTCATTGATGGGTAGGGTCAAGTTTTCATTTTTGAAATTAAATGGTATCACATCCCTTCTTTTCTTTTCCCATCTCTTAACGATCTCCCTAGATTAGGTACTTCTTAAGTCTGAGTAACCAAAGCTAAGAATTTTGGGAATCACAAGAAACAATCTCTAAAGGAGGAAATAGAGATTGATGTCACACCAGAGCCAAGAGTAACCCTCCACTTTATTTGGTGTTTGGTCAGGGTCTGACTGCTCTTCTGGGTCTAGTTAAAGACAGTATGATTTAGAGGAATGTGGCATTATTGGATCCAATCCAGAGAATGGAACTAATATATAGTAAGAAATTTGGAGGGAGATAATCTACAGGAAAAAAAGCCCAAATAGTCATAGAAAAATCACTTTTTGTATTTTCTTGGGAATACTTTCAAATAGGAGGAAACTGTGACATGGGGGAAATTAATATAATAACTTTAGCCTTGCTTTTCATAATTTAATAAAACCATAGTAATAAAGTACCCTGGAATCACTGATAGGCCCACAGTGTTCCACTTGCCAGCAGAGGTTTTTCCAAGGGTAGGTTACTATATTTTCCTTCTCAGTGACCTTGAACAACTTCTCAGGAGGTGAGGCTAAGACGCTTGGCAATGATACAGTCAAAAGCTCTGCATCGGAGCCCTACTTGGAGGAGTATGGCAGAGAAGCCAAGCATCTCAACCTTGACATTATAGACACAAGAAGGTCCTAAGACTGGCCCATCATGCCATAGGAGGAATGTAAAGTCTGCAGAACTTTGCCGTCCAGTGTGGTAGCCGTTAGCCACCTGTGAGCACCTACAATGTCACTAGTCCACCAGGCTACTGTGCACTTGAAATGTCACTGTTCCAAATTAAAATGTGCAATAAATGCAAATAGACACCAGATTTCAAAGACTTGGGAGGAAAAAAAAATGAAAAATGTCTCACTAATTTTTATATTGATTACATATTGAAATGTTAATATTTGGGGCATGTTACTATATTAGGTTAAATGTATTATTGACACTAATTTCAGTTATTTATTTTTACCTTTTAAAATGTGGTTAACTAGAAAATTAAAAATTGGTATCTGGCTTATATTATAATTCTATTGAATAGAACTACTATAGATGCTAATATAATTCTATTGCATAGAACTGCTATAGATGCTAATATTAGCATCTAACACACATTTAGCATCTACTCCATACCATGCACTTTCCTAAACAACATATACATTAACTACAGTGGCCATATACTCAATTATCCAATCTGGGACACTGTTGACACTTTTGAGAGTGAAATGGGGCAGTGAAATTTTAAACCAGTCAAGATACTAGGAGAAAAGGAATAAACTAGACCTGTCCTGAGCAAACTGGGATGTCAGGCCACCCTAATAGTAGGTCATTTAATCTTACATCAACCCTACAAATACCATTGTTATCCCCTTTGTACACGTGAGGGAACTGGGGCACAGAGAGATTAAGTAAATTGCCCAAAGTCACACAGCTAGGCAACAGTAGTGTTGGAGTTCAAATTAGGGCAGTCTGGCTCTAGAGCTTTCACTCTTAACTGCTGTGCACCCCTGTCTCCTTAAGAGCTAATATGGACTGAGGATTTCATAGATGTAGTTTATCTTAATCCTCACAGTAACTTGGACAGCATTATCCTGTTTTCACAGATGCAGAAACCAAGTTTCCAATGGATCCAGAGACTTGCCCAAATCATAGAACCAGAAAGGGTGGGGCCAAGAAGCAAAGCGTGAGATGCCCAGCTCCAGTGGCCTTCTTCCCCACTGCTCCATATCACCTTCAGGCGACCTCTGTGGATTTTATTAGTTCTCACACTTTTGGCAGAGGACTGGATAGGAGAGGATTAGAACCCAGGTGTCACCACCTAAGAATAGGCAACAAACACTGAAAGCTCCATCTTGGTAGCCTCTCCTTTCATGGAAGGGACTTTTTTTTTGGTAAGACAATCTGAATAGCCATCATGCCGTCAAGTTGGTTGTTCCGCTACCCATGTCAGAAATTATTCTCCAGAAAATATTCTCCCATTGAGGCAGTGGAGAGGGTACCACGAGGAACCTACAAACACCCAGAGGGCAGTTAGTTGTTGTCAAAAGGCCAAGAGAAGGGGCTTTCACAAAGCTCCACAGTCAGAAGCAATAACTTGGCACGTAAATTCATGAGAGCGCCAGGAGCAGCTTTTCTTCCAACCTCTGCAGTGGGTTGTAATATTGGCCACCCATTAAAGTCGCCTGCCTTTAAAAACCACCAGGTACTGCCTTGGCTCCATACTCTAGGAAACTTATTAGAGTGGTCTGGTGTGGGACCAAGACATCAGTTTTTTATACCCTCTCCCTAGATCCTCATGGAGTGGGGCTGCACTTTATTGGCTAACGTGCCTGGAGCATCTGGTTCTTGATTTAGCATTGCAAGCCAAGTGAGATTAGGTGAAGAGGGTGGGGTGGTTCTTGCAAGGGCCCTTGGAACAGTGGTTCCAGAATGATTTCTTGATAGAGTGATTCTAAACCAAGCCACT